TATGGTTCTGTCCTCACTTAAATATAAAAAATATGATCTGTAACAGAATCCATCCAGCAAGAATCAGTTCTTCTTGATAGTTTACAGCAGGATCACTGTCTAAAACATTGGTTTTCAAACTTTTCAAACTCAAAGGGCCACATGTTTTTATTCAAAGTCAGAGGTTCTCAACAATTGGTGATTATAACATACCATCACAGTTTTACGCAACATACATTTAAGCTTAAGACAATCAAAATCAAAATACCTTTGAGCCTAGTGGGAGAAATGATCCTGTTTTCCTGCATTCAGTTGCAATAGTGTAGGTAAATAAAATGTTATTTATTTAACAGCTTATAAAAAAAGTGCTTCATATGATATACAGATAAAGAAACACAGACATAGATGTAAAGCAATAAAAATAAAAAGCAGCCCGTAAACTCTGGTGCATGATTATGCCACAAAACTGAAGCAGACTGGGCTCAGACAGTCACTTCATAGATATTTCTTATTAACATTTAAATTAACTATAGAAATTGTGTTCTGGAGAAAATGAGACACAGTCTGTATGTGGGATTTTGGAGCTGATGGCAAATTCTCTGAATGTAATGTTATTGTGTGAGCTCGGCAGCTATAACACACAACACTTCTCTAGCAGGTAACGTTGACAACAACGCCAACGATAAAGGACATAAACTGCATTAAGGCCACGTTCATCTGGGGATAGGGTTGTTGTCAATATTCTCCAGCCACACTACATATTCAGCATACCTAATAACTAATTGATTAATAGAAAGTTTATTAGAATAATAAATGTTGCACTTGATAACTGGTATTGCAGTGTATTCATAATAAGTGGTATTGGCTGTGTCTGGATTGACTTCCCGTTTGGACTGAGGTCTGGACTTTGAAAAGCAATTCATCTTTGTGAAAGAGCCCTGGTAAGAACACAGTACTGACTCATCATGGAGCCCATCCATAGTCTCCAGTGAGTTAGCCCAGCCCTTGGTATTTTCTGAATTCCCTGCCCTGTCTGTGGCACTAAAGCCTTAAATCTAATGATTCCTCTTGAAGTAATGAGTTTCTCAAAATGTGTCATGAATATTGTGACAAACTGACTCAAAAAAAGTGACAAGTAAGAGGTACGTGCAAGAGATTCATAAATCTCAAACAAACGTGTTTCCACTCCAGACATTGTGTAGAATAATGCTGCTCTCTTTCTGCATCCACCAAACACAACCAAACTCAAAGCCTTGCATGGTACTTTGAAAAATGCTAAATACAAAAGCTACTTTAAGCTATAGGTCACCAAGAAAAGCTTTAACCCAAATAAACTTGAATTTTGGCCAGTTGCCATCTCAGGTGTGCCAAAACTACCTTTAAGAGAATATAAGTTTCACAGTAGAGTTTTCTTTGAAAGGTTAGGTAATTTCCCAAATGAACTACATCACTGTAATTTTTAGCAAGTACAGTCATGACTCGATAATCCGACCCTTAACAATCCGAAAACCTTGCTATCCGACAGGTTTTTAGGAAAAACAAACGGAACCCATAAAAAATTGCCGCAACATACCGACAGCCTTGGATTCTGACTCCGACATGACATTTTATGTCACAAATAAGGATAACAGATAATTATCTGACTTATCAAAGTCAAACAAAACAGATTGGCTATGTTCAGTCTGCATGCTCAATTCGGATTTTTTTGTGAAATCCGATTTTTCTGCAAGTTCATTCACATTTCCAACTAAATGCGACTTCTATGTGATCTGCTGTGTGAACTTCAAATGACCCAAAAGTGTCCCCCGTGCACAGAAGAGGACACGACGACGTCACATGCAGCGAGCGTGCTCAGTGTTTACAGAAGTAAACACGGATGGTAACAGTGGAGCATATCTGCCACTCCCTCACCACTGATGGTGGAAACAGAGCTGTGACCGCTAACTAAACTGGCATCAGTAGCCAAGTACTGCCTCTGCGTTCCGGCCACTTCCACCCCGCGGGAGTGCTTCGACGCCCCCTCCGGCCGCGCCAAGTATTCATCATTAATTTGGCCCAAATATCCGGCGCCCAGAAAGTATTATTTGGACAAGTTGTTATAGCAACTACAAACAATGAATATTAACAACAAATTACCCTTCAAGCATCAAGCCGTCCTTGTATCTCGACCTCCATCTTGACATTCCAGCAGCCTTGCTATCCAACATAAAAGGTTTTACATTTAGTGTCGGATTATTGAGTCACGACTGTATATTTTTAGCAGTGGATTAATTCCCATTTGACACTGTTGTGAATATTTGTGGCATCAGAAAGATGTACGTGTTACTGCATTCAATAAACTACAGTATGTGTGTTCATGATAATGAGGGAGAATATCAGTGCAACAGCATGGGTCACTCATGTGTTTTAATAATCTTTGAAAAACAATGGAGCTCTGTGGCCCAGAGGAATAGGATAAGCCAGACTTTGATATGTAGACAGTAGTTTTGTAGGATATGCCCAGTGTTGCTTTAGGCCTTTTCACTGACTTTTTTTTTTTTTTTTTAATAAATTCAAAACAGTACCAGTCTTGCCTTTAGAGTTGTGACAGTTTTTTTTTTTTTTTTTTACAAAATTCCCCTTTGTCCCTTTGTTGTTATAATCAGTCAGCATCTACTTTATGTACACATGGTAAAATTGCCAGTGAGATGCTGAGCAGAAAACACAATTTCCCTTTTCACTGTGTCAAATCTGTTTATGTTGTTATGGTTACAAAATGACAGTGCAAACATTTCTTGTAATTCTGCTGCAGTTTGGTACAGTGACATGTCTAGCAACATGGTCTCAGATGCTAGCTATGGTGTGATAGTGGTGGTGATTCTTGATAAACCATATCCATCTACAGGGGATGTTTCTCGCAAAACATTGAAGAGAAACAGATGGTGATGTTGAATTTTCAATTTTGTAAGAACCGCAAGTGAAATTCCACTCACCTCCACTCATTGTATTCAGGCAGAGGCAGAGATCTCTATGTGTGAACTGTGGTATTGTCATTCAGGTGAACTCATCCTTTAATGTATTAAATAACTTCCTGTGGTTAGCTGATTCACCGTGGCAACACATAAATGGATTGTAAGACATCTATATGCAATATGTGTTAGGAGCATTCTTCTGTTAGTACTTTAAGTACAAATGTGCTTTATTGGAGGTTAATACACAGGTCTGTATACTAGAAATAGAAAGTATTACTAATATGTCTTGTGGCAATGAAGAGACTAGGATCTCTCATTTGTAATGTTTTCATACAAAGGGAAGAAATCCTTCAACCCAACATTCAGCAGCTCTCTTCCATCCAGCTTTCCTATTTGCAAAGTTGTGTTAGCCTGATGGAAATGCCACAACGCTGTTCCCACTCTCACTGTGTCTCTTCATTCCCACACAAACACAGCGAAAGTAGATGTCTGTGCCAGCTCTAGAATGTTACGTCAATTCAGGAGATTAGAGGGAAAATGACTTTCAAAAATAAAAGGGAAGAGAGTGCAGGCTTTGTCCTTGCAGACACAGTGCAGTCTGAAAACTCAGTCTCTCTACCCAGGTGCAGCAGTGTAACAACAATAGTGGTTTGAACAAAGCCAACCTTTTCTGCCTTGCCCCATGAAATGGTTATTGGCTGTGTAAGCACCAGGATCATTGAAAGGATGATTGCAAAGGAACAGGAGTGTGACTGTGGTAGGTGGTAAAATCTATAGCTGTGCAAAGATCTTTGATGAGCATTCAAGGAGGAAATATCTGAGCAGAAAATGTCATCAAAATAACATGAAAACTTCACTTTGCTGGATCCTTCTGTCTGTCTGTCTGTCTGTATACATGTTTTCCAGCGTGGTTGAGAAAGGGAAAGTATGCAGAATCCTCAGAAATCAAATAGCACCACGACACAGTGACGTTTTCTTTCAGCAGACCTCAGCTTTATGCATCTGCAAATATGTGTTATTTCCTGCACATACATTATGTGTGTGTTTTTGTGTGTGTGTGTGTTGTTAGGGCTGTGACCCGTCCAGTTCTCATCCTGTTACCCATCCTGGGGCTGACCTGGCTGTGTGGAGTACTGGTCCATCTATCTGTGGTCGTTGCCTATGTCTTCATCGCTCTCAATTCTTTCCAGGTAAGCTCAGACACAACTGTCTGGATAACAAACTAATGGTAGAGTTAGGAAGTTCCAACTAGAGTACTTGCACTTAGTCATTTCATTAAAAAAAGACACATTGGTCAGACAGCAATGCACACCATGATGCACCATCCCCACAGATCTGACACGGGAATAATGACATGAATGTGCTGAAAGTACAGATCTGGAAGGCAATGTATCATTTAACTTCACTTGAAATAAATGATTTTTTTTGATTGAAACAGGTATTTTTATGCTTTATTTAATCAGTATAAAAGCTTAATTTTTAACAACAGTTAACAAAATAAAGTCAAATACTTCTGTGATCAATGGATTGGAAACTCAGTGATTACAGCTAAGCAGTCTATATACAGGTACATACAAAAAAAGACTAACAGACTTTGGTGAATGTGAAAATATACGTCACATGTAGCCTTACACACAACTTAATGTGGAAAGCATGACCTTCAATGTGTGCAACTGTCCTTTGAAGACTTTCATAAAGATTCAGGTACTTATTAAATTCAGAGGGAATATTCCTACAAACAGCTGGAAGCAACACGCTAAACTTTAGCTCCTGTTAATGCTTTGTCAAATGGTGAATTATTGATGAATGTCATTAATCTTTGGGCTCTGCTTTTGCACATCTACCTGTTGATATGACTGTGCAGCGTCGAAAGTGTGATACAATAATGTTACCAGATCCAGTCAAGTGGTTGCCATCATGACTTTTGAGAAAAATGGCCTGGAATAAAACTGAATAAAAGTGACCCTTCCAAATGCTGTTGGAATAATAAAAAGGGTGCATTTCTGAAAGGGACTTAAGTTTTTGTTGCTTGCAAGTTGTGGAGGTGCAATAGTAGGTTAGTAAATTTAATCTATGAAATGTAAGTGAAAATTTGGTCCTGATCGTTAGGCTAGAGAAAAGACCATGGAGTCACCAAAAACAATGGACACGTGCACATGAAACAGCAAAAAGACTGTTGAAAGGCTTGAACAAGTGAATTTTCGTACCTAAAGGTAAAGGTCAAGACAAAATCAGAATTATTTTCCTCCTGCAGCTGTGAATATTAATGCCAAATCGTAAATAGATTCAAATACTAATAAGTAATAAGTACAAAGGGTTCTAACAGGGAACAAAAACAACATATTCAGTTTATACAAAGAAATGAAATCAAATATTAAAAACAAAACTCTAACATAATAATTTACTGTACCTATCCTATTTTACAGGATATATAAAAACACACAATTATTTAAAAGCCAGTTAGAGAAAAAGATGGGTTAGCTAATATTTTAAACAAAATACAGAAATAGAGATATTCCACAGTTTTGGATGCCCTGAAAGCAAATGAACAAATCACGCTTGGCTGCAAATTTACAGTTAGGAAATGCAAGAAGGGCTTTATTCTAATGAAGTGTGTGTCTCATGGAGGCATTAAAGGTCAGAGATATAGCTTTGATCACTGCAGGAAATAGTCGGCTGGGAAGACATCACTGGTCGACTAAATGGATTTATAGGGCAGCTTTCATTAGGTTTAGTTGTTTCAAGCTGCAGCAATTTACCTCAAAATACAGCAAAATGTCTGTAACTCAGTGTATTATTCATATTGTAGATTAAACATCTGACAGCATTAGAAGACACACAAGTGAAAATAGAAAATTGTATTGCTACAAGGGAATGAAAAATTTGGCTGGGGGAGGAGGTGTTTGTGTGTCTGTGTATGTCCGAGCTTTGTGTCAATACCACTTGGTGTTTTCTATATAGTTAATTTTTGCAGTCATCTTTATCTGCTCATCATACATTTGTAGTGATGACTGTGTACTCATGCCCGTACGCGCGCGTGTGCGTGCATGCTTGCGTGCGTGTGTATGTTAGTGTGGGAGGCGGCAGCCAGTGCTTTGAACGACAGGTCATACCACATCTACCTCTAGCTCTCCTCCCCTGATAACAAAGCACCACTTCCTCTCTCTCACGGTCTTCTTTTATTTACCACTTTTCCATACACTGTCCCTATTTTTTTTATACCTTTCTGTATCTCTCTCTATCTCTCTGTCTCTCTCTCTCTCTCTCTATCTCTCTCTCTCTCTCTCTCTCTGTCCTTTCTTACCCCTTCCACCCCTCCTAGCTCCTCCCAAGTCTTTAATTAATCAAAATGAGCTAGCCCCTGGGTGACCCCCAGAGAACTGCTAGTTAATTTAGATTTACTGCCAGTGTCCAGCTAAGAGCAGATAACACTACAGTAGAAGTTCTCCCTCTTGTAGGTAGGAGGATGACACTGGGCCAGCCCATCTTCTTCCTACCAAAAAAAACACACAAAAAAAAACAGAGCAGAGAATGAGCACTAATAGGGCAAAACAGGGCTGACAATATCGTATAGCAGAGGTTAGACAAATGCAGGGGTGAGTGATGGTGGAGTGCAGTTCAAACATGATGGCTATGATATTTCTGTCTTTGGCTGCTTACATAAGCATTAATAATGACATTATACCTAATAGTCAAACCATTTGCTACAGTGTGTTGTTTTAATACATGAAATGTAGGAAACTGATTCCTGTATCTTATGCAGCTTCAACTAAGTAGAGAGTTTAAAAAGTTAATTTCTCAGATAAATACCCAATACTTGATCTCCATCCACCGTAGTACCATTGATCAAGTCTAAGTTTACTCAGGTTATCTGAATCTAGTTCAGAGCGTGTTTACATTAAAGAGGTAGTGTTGGCACCAGGTGACCAGTTGCAAACATGGATAGAATAGAATAGAATGCCTTTATTGTCACTATACACATGTACAATGAGATTAAGAGCAGCTCCTTCAGTGCAACATAGAATAAAGTACAAAATAAAGAGCAAAAAATAAAAAATAGAAGAGATTTAAATATAAAATAAGTTTTATATATACAGTATAAGTTATATGTACAGTATGAATATAGAAAAATATTGCACAGCATGGTCATAGGTTTAGAAATGTATATTTCTTACAAGAAGAACAAACTATAATCCTAACAAAAATGGGGTATTTAAAAGATAGAACAGGCTGAAAGCTTTTGTCAGTGTCTGTTTTAGGATTGTTTCACAGTTCCAGCTCTAAAAACTCTTTCCTTCAGAAGAAACCCTCTCACTATATAAACGTCATGGGATCTTTCAGGAATGCTGATACCATTTTAAAAGAAAACTGCCAAGTTAATATGCGGTGCTTTTATATATGTTGATCTTTTGTCTATCTTATGCGACATAGGACCATCCTTTATAAAATTAACATTATGCTGTATTCAACCTAGTGATTGAGGCCATAAACTCATTGGAAAATGTTAAACGAGGTAACAAATGAAGTGAGAAGTGGTATAATTTTCTCATAGACATCTATGCCATCGGGCTTCTCTTCACAACCAGAGGCATCGCCCCTGCTATTCATTAGAAAGAAAGACTCCTGTCTGGTAGTTTGAGTGTCTGGTGTCTTTTGTATACGTATAGCCCATGGCTGTAACATTGATGGTTTGGTAAAGGGATCATATTTCTACAAATCCCAACTTTTGAACAAAGAGAAGAACAAACTGCAATCATATGGGGGAAAAAAAAGATATTTTTCCAAATTGTATTTCTGCTGTAGATTTGTCTTAATAACACAAGGGACAATCAGTTTGGATTCAGTTTGGCTTAGATTTGAGTGCTGCACCCTGCTGAATCCAACTGAAGTTATTGCCAAAAGGGAGTGAAAAACCACACAGACAGAGAGCATAAAAAAAAGTATTTTGCAATACATGCTTCTTACTTTTGTCTGTAAAATAAAAAGTACACTTTGCCTGAGGTGACAGAGTGGAGTAGTAAATGGACTTGCTTAAGGTAAAATTGTCTGTAGCAGTATGAATACAGTTTATTCTTCTCCTCTTTCTATATTTAACACCAGGTCCAGTTCCAAAACAAGATGACTCAGAGTGAAATTAGTGAGGGTGCACTAATCCGGACACCTAAAAGTAATCGTCAGCCACCCAAAATCTATCATCTCCTATTCATATGCATCTGCAACTGTGTACTGCTTTACTGGAAACAGACATAACTTTATGTCCATCTGTAGTAACAGCAATGTCTTTGTGAAAGTTTAAGGCAACAGCTCCTTTGCCATATGATCTGAAATTTTGTCAGCCCTGGTGTTTGGTAGGCTGCCCAGCCATTGTCGAGTACCCACATAATGATATCTGCACAATAAGTAACCCTTTGCAGACTGTAGTTGTCCACTTGTGGTTAGATCATTTCAAGCATGGTTGTGCAGACTGACACGGACGGACCTGCATGATGGTTAGACCAACTACAAGCACACTAAGTGTGGTTTCCTGCTGTCCCTATATCATACAAGCATCTTAATGTGTCTCTCTCCTCTCAACAGGGGCTGTATGTCTTCCTTGTATATGCAGTTTACAACAGTGAGGTAAGAAGCATTTATTCCATCATTAGAGCTGCTGTTGCCTCTGCAGCAGAATACCAAAATGTATCTTTGTACAGTATATGAGGATGCCAGCCTTTTGGACAAACCAATGGGTGTAAAGACTGCCTCTCATTTAGGTGAGGAATGCAATAAAGAGGATCAAAGAAAAGAGAAAGGCCTTATCTTTCACGGTGAGTAGGCAAAAAGCACACAGCAGCGATCACATCGTTCATTACAGGACAGAGAAGACATTCCATCCTCACTAATGTTTATTGTACTGGAACTCAGACTCATTTTGCGTTGTTATGTATTTTTAGAACTGCTCCCAGCCAACCAGCTTCCTACCTTCCCAGAGGGCCCCAATTACCTCCTGGGGCCGCAGTCCACCGTCCCCCTCCAGCCCTGAGACCAGTGAGACCTCCGGACCCACCAGCTCCACCTCCACCTCACTGGTCATCAAAAATGGTAGGCCAATGATTGCAAAAAGAAACATGGAGGGAGCAGCCAGATTTATTCAGATAGCTGTTGTGTCAGATTTATTACTGTAAACTGAGCACTGCATCAGGAAACTGTGTCTGAATGTTTTATCAGACACACACAGAGGAAGACTTAAGCTTTATCTGATGGTTTGCAGTTCATTCTGACTGGCTCACTGCAGTACAGTGAGAGGAAGAAGCTTTAAACTGAGAAAATGTTCAGTATAACCATGAGCAATGAACATTATGAGAAGCATTCTGTGTTTTGCACACTTTTGGTTGCTGTTAGCATCGCTCTTTGTGTAATATTTTTAATTTACTGGAGAGGTGAACATCTGTCAAAAGACAATAAACTCAAAATTATCTCCTTAAAGCATGTGTGAAATGAAGTAAGGTTTGTGCATTAACAATACAAAGCAGAAGGTTTAGAGGTAGAAGCCCGGTGTTTTTTAATGTGGTCTTGTGCCACATGAATGAAGCAGCTAGTATTTATGAGAGATGACTTATTAGAGATGAGTTCAAGGGTTTATAAAAACTCCCCCACTGATTTTTTTTTTTTTTGTGCCTCTGTGTTTCCTCAAATCTAACTTTCCTCTGATGGAGCAATTTGCTTCAACCAGGTTAGCAGCAGAGAACATTCTCTATCGCACTGTATTGCTGTGCAGATTTTCAAAGCAAACCTTCTTACATTGACTTTGCACCTCTGATGGTAATTTGCGACTGGCTTAATGAATATTCCTCAGTTGTCTTGTTTGCACTTAACTTTGGAGTAAAACATACGTACTATTTTGATCCCTAAACATTTCCACAATGCCATGGTTTCCATGGCAACGACCAGTTGTAGCGTGTCAGTATGCCGATACTGACAGGACACTGTCAATACATTTTAAGTACATTTGAAGACAGGAGTCATTAGAATAGACCCTGTGTGGCTGGAGGTCAGCATCCCTGAATTTCTGACTTTCACACATTGTTAATGGTTTCACCCTTGAGTGAACACTGTGCTGGCTGGCAGTAGTTTTGTAAAGCAAGCATACTTTGAGGGTGTGTACCTACGAGTTCTGAATGACTCCACCCCCACACTCTAACAAAAATAACTGGGCAGTGTTTTCATACAAAGTTCTTAAGAGTTTCTCTGTACCATATCTCAAGGCCTTTAGAAGATATTTATCATCATTTGCTTCGTTCTTAAGGGGACTGCAAACGGGTTTAACATATAAGATCATTCACTTTGTTTCAGAGTAGCAAGACTGAGGAACATTAAACTCAAACTCAACAAAATCAGTTTGTTGCAATATACATACAATGACTTATGGTAGTTGTAGTTCTCAGTGTTCAGTGCTTTATAGTCTTAAATCAGATTTTGAAGACTCATAAAGCAATGAGGGTATTTTCTGAGTCTTCTCTTGAGGAGCTGCTCTCCTGTGCTACTTTGTGCGCTTGTGGTTGTGTCTCATATATATAGGTCTGTGCACTCCTTACTCTGATGGATGCATATGCAATATTACTCAGCTTGTCTGTGAGTGTGTTATCTGTGGGATGTACCAGTTTTTCTGTCACTGCATTGCTGGGTCCAAAGTGCAAAATTTCTCTGATATACCAGCTATAAATGGGATGCCAATGGCATTCCACTGGTTCTTTTTTTCTACTCTGGAGAGACAAAACAACAGCTCCACAAGAGCATGTCAAAGCACAGGAGAGTCAGTTTCTCAGAACAAAAATCCACAATCCACCTGCATCTGCAGAACAGGGGAAACTGCAGCAATGTTCACAATCTGAACAGAAAAGAAAGATGGTTTGAGATGGAGTGTAGAAAGCAACCTATGTTAAACTGGAAACAGCTATCAGAATCAGAATCGGAATCAGAAAAAACTTTATTTATCCCGAGGGGCAATTAGGTGGGCAAAGAGCAACATATTACAAGTAAGCAAGAGAAGAAAACAACACACACAAAAGACAGGGGGGGGGGCATCTGTGAGCAGCAGATTATGTACAGAAAGTATGAATAATTGTAACTATAAATACATTTAAATAATACAAATATAAAATATATAAAATAAAATATAATAATAACACTAACAAAACTACTACTACAACCAATACTAATACTATTATATAAAGCAATAATAGTAATTATACAATAATAATAATAATAATAATACAATAATAATAATAGACAAGAGCACAATTTGGGTATTTATCATGCAGTCCTGAGGTAGTTTCACAACCATTGACACTTCTAGTGAGTATGTGAAAAGAATTACCTGGTACTTCTCAACAGGCTGTTTGAATTGAGGAAGTCTCTTAGGTGAGAAGTGAAACATCAAGAACCTCAGAACGAGGTCCAGTTGCCTTCAGCTGTAGTGCTTAGGATCACTTTGACCTGGCAACTAAGAGTAAAGATACAGTGAGGGCGTTGTTATAGCTTCAGCATTTCTTGCACTTTCTTTCAGCTAGCTTTTGTTTGAACTTGTTGCATATGAAAATATTCAGTAGGACAAACAACAGACTGGTTATTTTACTGTTCTTGGATTTAAACTTCAGCGTTAAGCATTACCTTCAGTGGTTATGTAGTGCTCTGAAACATGTTGAGTTCATCATTCACATTTCTTGCTGGCTTGATATCATTGTGTCAAGTTAGAAATACGTTTCTTTAAATTAAGAATGCAATTCAATTCATGTTTTATTCTCACAATGGTTAAAAAATTACAATATTTTGAAGGGAAAAAAGTTGTTGTATTTGTCCTTTAAAAAGAGCGCTGTCGCTTTAAGTAAAAGACGAGAGTTACAGGAAGGTGATGTATGCAGGCTGAAACTGAATGCGCTTGTGCTGAACTGGGACTTATGTTGTCATTAATAAAAGTTGCAAAACAAAGATGGACGTGTTTGTGGAGGTTCATTTTGAGTGTACAACAGTTACATGCAAGGCTGCCTCAGAACTGTAACTCTATGTCAGGGCTACAGTGTCAACAGAGATGCATTTACTGCAAGAACTGTGATTGGCTGCTTGAGTTTTTCCTCAGATGTTTCTGATGGTCGCAGAAGGCAGTGGTAGAATTTGTTTAGAGTGAAGACAACAAGGAAGTTAAAAACTCTTGGCAGATGTTACCTTTCAGTAACAAACTTTTAACGAAGGTGTTACACTGCAGACCTGTTCACTGCCATCGCTCTGTGTGAATAAATGCACCCTCACCCTGGCACCCTCAGTTTAATGAATGAATAATTGCAGTGCTTCAGAGATGAGACAGTCAACTGGGTGTCAAAACCTGCACTATACGTAACTATGAAGGACTCCTGTTAGCCACTGGCATTGCCCATAAATAAGCTTTTAAGGGCTTAAATAATTGGTCCCAACAGGGGTGCTAGAGGAAAGATGAGGGGTTGCATAAAATCTGAAACCTACTCTCCATAATACATTATATTGACCTGTCATGTCCACTGCTACTGTTAGGAAGACTCTCCTGCACCTTCACTGCATTTAGACTGAAGGTGACACCCTGTCACTTCATCTGACATGCCATCAGCAATCTGTTCTGCTGACACAAGTCTGTCATTAAATGACACACTCAACCAAAAGAGTGCATACTAAAATGTTTCATAATGCTCTTTTGTTCAAATTGTTTGCATTTTCGCTTCTCTCATTGTGTTTCATAAATCTATCTTTGTATTGCACTCAGCTTGTATGACTTTGTTTTACATGTTTTGGCCTTGCATGAACAAATGTCTGTGTCCTGAAAGACAAATGCAAGTGTCTTGTTTGTTATTTCAGAGAGTTACAGAAAAGAGAGTTTTGTGAGTTTCTCTTTGAAACCATCATCAGGAAATCAAGTAAGTAACACATACTGTAAATATGTTTACTATTCAGTGTTACACAGGCTTTTTCCTGCTCAGAATGGGTCTTTGCGAGTGGCTTTGCTCAACAGTAATGATCAGTCTGCCTACAGTAAAGACAGGGAGTCTGTGTTTTTATGTTATTTGACAGAAATCTACATTTTTTTCCAGTTATTTTTGACAATTTTCTCAACAACAGTCTCGGTTATGCTTAAATAGATCAAACCTCAATAAATACATCTGGTTAAAGAAGGTGTTTTTTTTTTTTTTCTTAATTCTAATTCTGGCACTGGTGACTTTCCTTTGGGATTGTTTAAACCTCTTTGGGGTGTTCCAATGTTTTTTCTGTGCAGGAAAAACCCTGTTATATATTACAGTACTGATTGAACTTGAACATGTTGTGTTTGTTTTTGATTTTAACAGGTGGTGCAGCTGACTGGGTTCAAGCCATCAGGTACGAAGCAGGCATAGCCTGATGCGGCTCTTGAATCATTTGGGAGCTCGTATCAGTTCATACACAGAGAAGTGAGACAAATTTCTCTTTCAGGCAAACACAGCACCAGATTTTTCTCCACTTTGCTGTCCGTGCAATCCAAGAGGCCTTGTTTCTATTGGCCGCGTGGTCATACATCAGCAAATTTGAACTACGACTGCAGCCAGCGTGCGGCCACTCTGACCTGCGCGCTGCACTTGCACTTTCCTTGGCGCAGCGTCAGGTCATTGTCGCGTGGCACTAGCAATTAAAATTCATGGGTTTCATAGCAGCTGCAAGGTGAGCGGTGGTTAGCATCGTTGCCTCGCAGCTAGAAGGTCGCCGGTTCACAGGATCTTTCTGCGTGGAGTTTGCATGTTCTCCCAATGCAGCGTGGGTTCTCTCACGGTTCTCCAGCTTCTTCCCACACAGTCCAAAAACATGTTGAGGTTAATTGGTGATTCTAAATTGTCCATAGGTGTGAATGTGAGTGTGCTTGGTTGTCTGTCTCTAAGTGTAGCCCTGTGATAGGCTGGTGACCTGTCCAGGGTGTCCCCTGCCTTCGCCTAAAGTCAGCTGGGATAGGCTCCAGCCTCCCACGACCCTAGTGAGGATTAAGCGGTGTATAGATAATGCATGGATGGATGGTTTCAGAGCACTGGTGCCACGTCCTGTGTGAAAGCAGCTCACACATTGCAGGGACCTTTTTGTGGAATCGTTGATCAGTAGATTTCATTGCACTGGAGCTGTTCACAAACTCACTTGGTTTGGACATACCATCAATGTGCACATAGACCACCCCAGTGTGTTGACAAGACTTGTCTGCCCTAGTTTTTGCAATGCCCTCAGTTGGGGAGTGAACAATTTGTGTTTTTTTGTTCTGATAGGCTGTACAACTCTAGAACAATACCAAACTATGAAATAAAAGTGTGACTCTGTGATGGTCCAACCGCCTTTGTGGAGATTTACAGTGGGACCATCAGGGAGAGTTCCTTTCAGAGAGGGATCACAAATTACTAAAGCTATTTTTGGAATAAAGGTGTAAATGAATTGTCTTCTTCCCATGACAGTTGCTTCTTTTCTGACCTCCGCAACTGTTCTTGTTACAGGAGCCATGGCAACATTTTTTAATCGCCTGTACCTAGTCCCTGGAACGTTTTTTTTTTTTTTTTTTTTTTATAGACCTCTAGAAAACAAATGAAACTGTTGTATTTAGTGTTAGCTTGTGAGCCAGATTGTTTGTGCTTGGTTCAGCTTGTTCAGAGCAGACACCAGCATGATTCTAATGCTGAAGTTTTTAGTCCACCTATTTTGTTGTGTCCTCTGTGACTCCCCACGAGCAATGGGCTACTAAAACCAGTGGCAAATGCAGTACAAACCACAGAAAAGAAAAGAAAAGAAAAGAAAAGAGAGGAAAGGAAAGAAAAGAAAAGAAAAGAAAAAGCAATTGACAAGCTAGTCTGGGTGGTGTTTTTTCAGTGACTGAGCCGGACAATTCTTGTGGGGGTGGCCAGGCTCAGACCATTAGTCACATTAGAGAGGCTCACAGATTGATACCTTGATCATTCTTGTCACAGCGTGACAAATCACACTCGGCACTAATTGTTTCTGGGGGGTTTTATCACTTTTTTAAACCAACTGCTCAGAGTGTTATGACTGCCATGTAAGCATACACCATGAGGTATAATTTAAATAAGCTGTTTAATGTGGCCCCAAGTAATTTAAAAAAAAAATAATAATTTTTTTTTAAAAAAATAATCTGCAATCATTGTTTCAGTTTATACTTTTTAAATTGTTGATATTACAAATGTGATTACAGAACTTCAGTTCTATGGGTAGGTGTGTAGCCACTATGTGGGGGACAGATGTAATCCTGAGGTTATCATGGCCACCCTTTGATTCATTTATAGATGAGCAAACAAAACATACACCCCACAAACTTCATCATAGACTGTAAAAAAAACAAAAAACAAAACAACCCTCTTATCCAGTTGCTCGGGTTTATTACCAAACTCACTGGACTGAAAGAGAGGAACCATCTGTGTAACCACAAAACTGCATGCTGCGAGATTTCTCTGTGTGAATCCTGAAGACTTGGCCTCAGTTGTATGCTGTGAAACTCTGTGCTGCTGGAGGTTTCTGACAGATTCATAGAACTGCACTGATCGCTCTCTGCTCAGCTGAAACAAAGCTATGATGGCATATACATCAATGGTTGCCTTTATTCACGCTCTGTAAGATGAGTTTGGTCAATGCCATTACCGTTACGTCTCTGAAAATGACTAAATATTGTTCACTTTCAAAACCCAGTATCCACCTGTGGCCTCTGTACCACCATGGCCTCCCTTGTAAGGAGTGTACTGAACTCTACCTGCTTTCTCTGTATCTGCCTTCAAACCAAACGACATATGGAGGACAGCCTTGAGGAAAAAATGAAAATAAGTATTTGCATTAATGCTCATTGAAATTCCTCATTTGACATTTGAGTTGACTGAATGAAGTCACTCACGCAGTATACTTCAGTCAGCTTTTGTTAATATCATGTTTAATAGTCTAAGTGTTCTATAAGCTGTTTTAAGGTGGAATCCTGTTTTTATTTCCACTGATACAGAAAACAGAGTAGTTGTAATTTCTGAAAGCCTTTGAGTAATAACATAGAAAACATCATCTACTAATGACTTCAGGATGAACTTCTCCCCACGGGTCAGCGCACACTTTCTAAACACTGTCAATTTAAGGAAGATTCACATATAACACAAAAAGCTGATCTGAGGAGAAGGAGCAAAAGGGGTTTGATTTTTCTCCAACTGTCTCCATTTACCTGCACAGTGCACAACATTAGGCCTGTGTGAAAACTGGCCCGATGTCTTTTGTTGAGGAGAATGTGCAGACGGACACAGCAGATGGTCCCCATATTTCCAGAGGGTTAAGTCACTGTCAATAGCTCTAAATTGCCAGCACTGTGGAGAAGGAAGTTTGTAATAGAATCATTAAATGTTTAGGCGTCTGCGAGGAACGCCTCATGGACAGTGTTTGAGTGCTGCTAGGTGTTCATTGTTGACCGCCGAGACAAAACACAAGTTCATTCCCTTAATCAAGAAGGGACAGCGCTGGCTATTCACACTGTCAGCCATTAACCACTCCAACACCTGCTCTCTCTCACTCTGCCTTTCATTCTTCTCCCTTCTTCTGTCCTCTTTTGTACACAAACACACTCGCGCTCCCATAACGTAAAAAAACACTGAACGTCAGTCAGAGCTGGGAGTCGTAGCTAATGCCTTTTACTTTATTTTACCACAGGTTGTTGAACTGCAAATGGAGTGGAACCTGTGCTCAATTACTACACACATCATCATCACCACTCTGAAAGAAGAGAGAACTGGACCCGTACACACTGCACGGAAAGCTTGCAAGGAAATGAGTGTGAAGGAAAGATGAAGCTCCACCTTCGACTACATTGTCACTTTCCTTTTCACATATCAGATCAATATTACCCCAACCGTTTAGGATCTCACATTTGTTGTGTAGTTTTACATTAGTGAAGAGGTTTAAGACCCAATTCACTCAAAATTGTGTTTTGGTTTTTCACTGTGCAGAGTGATGTTTGTTTACCGGATTAGTTATTTTCTGATTTGTGACATCAGAAGCAAGTTGGAGCCAGTCCAGGTCCATCAGAAAATGTGAAGCCTGCAAAAACTGGGACATCTTTGTATCCAGTAGTTAAACTGCTGAAATGAAAAAAATTTCCATATTCATAGATGTGGATGGAAGCAGAGATGTGATATTCATGGTTTTTTTTTTCATGGGAAAACCATATCAGACACAAATGATTATTATTCAAAGCATATTTTATATATCTTCAAACGTGTCAGGAGAGGATCTTCAAGGTTATCACATCCATACCTCTAAAAGACAGATTTGTGTCACAGCAACCTCAAAGGGTCATTTATGTCAGATTTGAGTACAGCTGAGGTCTTTTGTTTCTTTTGTATCGCCTCTGTCATCTGGAAATGTTATTTTACAAACAGTAAAGGTCTTGTCAGAAGCAACATCTGGGTTATTCTGCAAAAGTACATCCCTGAAAACAGTTTCTGTAAATAATCCTGCACAATCAGAACACTGTATCTGCAATGACAGGGAGCTGGTGTTGCATTGGGAAAATAATATGTATGCATTTCTGTTGGTGTACATTATACAGAGGTGGAGGCAGACATCCCAACAGCATTTAACACAACATTTTCTTTTTGTTCCTGATTTGGTTGTTATCAGACTGTTCAATATTCAGTATCATTACTTTTACTTCACACAGCAACAAGATTGTCTGCCTGTCATTACCAACAACATTTAGACACTGCACTATGCGTCAACCAATATGGTATTTTCAGGGTCAATACCAATTATTACTAACCAAGGGAATTAATAATTGATAAGCATATTTAGAACTGCTACACATTTGCAGTGAAAATCTAAATCTTGTTTTCAAAATTTAGAATAATACAAACTCCAACAAAACTGCAAAATGCTTTGGTTTCTTTATGTGTTACGTGTTTAAATACAAGAGAACTGTTCCACACTTAGCCGTCAGTGCTGATAGGCTGCTATTATTTGTGACTGCCGGGTGATAGATAGGGTTGGGGGTGACACATTGCTCAAGATCACATTGTGGAGAATACAAATAGAGAAAGGCAATTACATCAGAGCCAGAACTGCACACTTGTCAGAGAACTTTTATTTGTAATTTTGTCCAAGATTGGTTTTAAAAAAAAAAATAACACATGATTCCCAGAATTGTAAAAATGCTGAATATCAGATGCAATAATCAACTCAACTGATAATCTGTTGAGTAGTACATTTAGTTCCTATAAAATTTTTAAAAATGTCAGCGTACATTGAAATGATCCCAGTAGCACAGATATGTGAGTGATTTTATTTCCAGGCTTCATTCTCATTTTGTCCTCATGTTTAGCTGAAATAACTTCACAATTCAATAGTAACTCAA